ATGGCAGGCCTAACCACTACTCTATAAAACTTACCTTTTAGTGACGGTGGCACTTTCTTGTCACACAGGACTCCCATCGCTAACCTCCATTTTATCCACCCCACCCCTATACGGTGTGTGACATCCTCGTCGATCTCCCCGATCCCCTGAATAACTGACCCAAGGTACTTGAAACTACCCCTCTTAGGGATGACTTGAGAGTCAAGCCTCACTTTCACTCCTGCTTCCGTTGGCTCGGCCTCAAATTTGCACTCGAGGTATTCCGTCTTCGTCTTGCTCAACCTGAAACCTTTAGACTCAAGGGCATGTCTCAAAACCTCTAGCCCCTCATTGACGCCGCATTGTGTCTCGTCAATTAGGACTATGTCATCAGCAAATAGAATGCACCATGGCACCTCCCCTTGAATATGATGCGTTATGGCATCCATCACCAGGGCAAATAGGAAAGGGCTGAACGCAGACCCTTGGTGCAACCCCGTAACAACCGGAAAATGCTCGGAGTCGCCTCCTACTGTCCTAACCCGAGTCTTAGCCCCATCATACATGTCATTAATCACCCTAATGTAGGCTACCGGGACCCCTTTATCCTCTAAGCAGCTCCATAAGACCTCCCTAGGAACCTTGTCGTACGCTTTCTCTCGATCGATAAACACTGTGTGGAGATCCTTCTTCTTATCCTTGTATTGTTCCACCATCCTCCTAATAAGGTGGATAGCTTCTGTGGTAGATCGCGCCGACATGAACCCGAACTGGTTGTCTGAAATAGACACCGTCCTTCGCACTCTCATCTCTACCACTCTCTCCCAGACTTTCATGGTATGACTCAGTAATTTGATACCCCTATAATTGTTACAGCTCTAGATATCTCCTTTGTTCTTATACAACGGAACCATTGTACTCCACCTCCACTCTTCAGGCATCCTATTAGTCTTGAGTATAACATTAAACAACCCAGTAAGCCATTCCAAGCCTGCTCTACCACACACCTCCAAAGTTCAACCGGAATTTCATCTGGCCCGGTAGCTCTTCCCCTCCTCATCTTACGCATTGCCTCCATGACCTCATCGACCTCAATGTCCCTACAATAACTTAATTCATGGGGGTTGTCGGCATTCCTCAATTCATTTAGAAGTTTATGAAAGTAGGTATGCCATCTCCTCTTAATCTGGTCATCCCCCATCAAAACTTTACCGTCCTCATCTTTTATGCACCTCACTTGGTCCAGATCTCGAGCCGTCCTCTCTCTCACCTTAGCAAGCCGGAATAACTTCTTCTCCCTGCCTTTGTTCCCTAGTTCCTCATACAGACAAGCAAAAGCTGCCGTCTTAGCCTCCGTTACTGCCATCTTCGCCTCCTTCCTAGCTACCTTATATATCTCACTGTTCGCTCCCTTCTCCTCCTCGCCAGTGCTCCCTACTAACCGCAGGTAAGCTGCCTTCTTCGCTTCCACCTTACCTTGGACAGCTGCATTCTACCACCAGTCTCTTTTGTGGCCACCGGCGCGGTCCGAAGATATCCCTAGCACCTCTCTCGCCACCTTCCTTATACAGTCCGCCGTCGTCGACCACATAGTGTTTGCGTCCCCACTACTTCTCCAAACTCCCATTGCCGATAACCTTCCTTCGAACTCTTGAGCTTTATCCTTAGTCAAGCCATCCCACCTAATCCTCGGGCGGCCTCGTATTGACCTCTTCTTCCTCCTTATCATAATGCCAATGTCCATTACCAAAAGCCTATGTTACGTTGCAAGGGTCTCACCTGGGATAACTTTGCAATCCTCACACAACCTTCTGTCGCATCTCCTGAGGAGGAGGTAGTCAATCTGAGTCTTCACCACCGAGCTTTGGTAAGTAACCAAATGCTCCTCCCGCTTCGAAAAACTTGAGTTTGCAATCAATAGATCGAATGCCTTGGAAAAGTCCAACAGCGAAGTGCCCCCTCCGTTCCGCTCCCCGAAACCAAAGCCGCCATGCACCTCAGTATAACCACCTGCAGACGACCCAATATGACCATTGAAATCTCCTCCTATGAATAACCTCTCGGAAGGTGGAATACTACGAACGGTGTCATCTAACCCCTCCCAAAAGCGTCTTTTAATCTCCTCATCCAAGCCTACTTGCGGCGCGTACGCGCTAACGACATTTAAAGTACACTCACCCACCACCAATTTAATAGTCATTAGTCTATCATTCACCCGCCTGACCTCTACCACCGACTCTCTAAGATGGTTATCTACCAGGATACCCACTCCATTCTTACCCCTCACGACTCTAGAGTACCACCACTTATATCCATCCGCGTTTCTCGCCCTCGATCCAACCCACCTAGTCTCCTGGACACACGCTATATTAATCTTCCTCTTCTGAAGGATCTTCGCTAACTCTATAGACTTACTCGTTAGCGAACCTATGTTCTATGACCCGATTCTCAACCTATAGGCTCCCTTGCCCCCTCTACCTCCCCTGCCTCCCGTCCCACACCCTGACCCCGGCCCCACACTCTTCCCCACCCAAGGACATGCCCTTAATCTGTCATTCCAGACCGCAGCCACTACACCTACGACAAATCTAAAGAAGACTCGCTAGTGCACAACAGACAACGAATCAAACTAGAAGGAAACAAGTGACTACAAGTACACTAGTTGAATGATTGAACTATTGAGAAATAAAGTAACATCAATTTAGCTAACACCAAAAGGGAAACAGTAGAACGGGAGGTACCAACTCCCGAGAACCAAACTTGTGTTGATTTGTTGTACTCGATGTAGTTGTACGCTCACGCACCGCTTCCTACCGCCCTTTGCTGTCGCTCGTCCAGGTTGCTCTCCTTTTCTAGTGCTCGTGCTCCCAACTTGTCTCCAACAACTTCAAGAATTTCCCTGAAAACACAGAAAATACCACGACCCAAAAACCAAAAAGGGATGTCACCACTACCACTGGTGTAGCCCTGACAGTAGTAGGAGAAATGTAGGGATAAAGCAGAGAACTACACCCAAAAGCCTGAAGTACCTTAAATGGTAATTAAAAAACAAAAATCTTAATCTAGAAATGGAAACCCTAATTGCCACTAATTAATATCCAAATAGCCTACAGATCCAAAAATTAAAACGGTATATGAAAAATAGATTAAATAGTGAAATTTTCACAGAAAGAGATAAGGAAAATTGCGATATACCAAACAAAGAAGGGAAAATTTGAAATTCAACACTGTAAAGAACAAAGCATATGCAAGAGGAATTAAATGTCACAAAAAGGAAAAAAAGTGAAAAAAAGAACAAATAAATCTTACTGTCTCCCTAGGATTATTTGGATTTAGTGTCCCAAAGCTTATAATT